GCAAGAATGGATAATTTACCCGACTTGTAAACAGATATTTCCTTCAGCCGATTGTGTCTCATGCAGGAGAATGTCATGTCTGCGTTGTTTTGTTTCTACTGAAGTTTTATCAAAGAAAGCTTAAGCGAAAATAGGATCGCAATTTATACTCTTACGAACTATAAATTAGGGCTGACCTGGAAGACGCGTTGAATTGTGCCGCCATCCTTCAAAATATAATCTTGCTGCGTTTAGGGAGACAATTTCCTCTTCCATCCAGATTTACTTGGTATATGTGTTTGCGAGAATCTTCAGACAAAGAATTGGGTTTACACCGATTCGAATGGCTTGGAGATACTAAGTGCTTAAGTCTACTTACCGATTACAACATGTTTTGGAAGTATTGAGAAGCGCGCCAAATGAGGTTGTCACAGCGTTCTCGAGCGAACACGGCGCGACCTGGATTGATAACATTACCATTACATGCAGCCATGGATAATAGAAAGACTGGATAGGAAACTTATGTCACGTGGGCTAATTTCTAATCGCCGATTGGCTGGTTCGTGCTTCAAGATGGCGTTGACTGGTTCCATCATAGTGGAAATTTGTGACGAAATGATGGCGAAAATGTGGCGCACACCAGTCGAAATGTAGGGTTTGTTTGCCTGCATGTTGTTCTTTTTCGGAGTTTTTAGTGCTACTTTAATTTTTGGTGTATGTTTTTCCCTTCGTTTGTTGTCTTGCGGCGATGGCGACCCTTCAAAGCCACACTTGAACCTTCGAGGTAAGCACTTCTTGTTGTTGTTTTGTGTTATTTGTCCTTGTCTTTGAGAAAATTTCGTCCCAAAAATTTACCTTACAGAGCCATATTTACTAGACTTGTGGACTATTTTGGGACGCCTTTATTTAGAAGGTTCCTTCTTCTTTCTATTTATAACTACGATTGACAGATGTTTTAAGGATGGAATTGTGGCATAGGCATAGTTACAGACTGAGTGCTGTTATTTTCCAGCCGTACATTTCGATTGAAAATGACCGAAATTAACTACATTCGGAGCTAGTGCCGAACAAGTGTACGCACACGGAGTGCAATTTTCCAATGGGCAGACTTGTTTGTGTTGAGAACTGCTCCGCTCAAGTAATATCCTAGATTAACCCTGCTAATTGTTCGTAAAGCAGTATGTTAATTTCACTCATCTTTTCATGTTGAAATATAACTTCTAAATTACATATCCATTGAATACAATCGCCTCAAGTCGCTCCTCGCAGCTTGTATTCGAAGGTACTGAAGAGACTCGAATATTTTTTTTGTACATAAACTACATAAACATAAACTACACCTACTGACTGCTGATTTTTGGCCTCCGTTTAGGCTCCTAAGTGTTGTTGTTATTTTGTAAACAGTGTTTTAGTTTTCCTGGTGTTTGTCTTTTTTGTAGGATTTGCTGAACACATTTAGTCAATGAAGACAGTAAATTGTGGTCAAGCAGGGTCAAGTAATCTTCTGAGAGGGCACAAATCAATCAATCTTTCTGTATAAAACAGCAACTAAAGTTACTTTTGTCATGCATGAGAGCCAGAAGGTGGCATATAATTTATTTCTGATCAGAAGGTGCTTTAAGCTTTATTCATCACATCTGAAGAGTGTTAGCTACTCCTTTCTGACTGGGACAAATTAATTGTGTGTGAGGGTCACTGCATGTATTAGCTGCAGAGTAATGTGTTTTAGATTTGGTTAGTGTTTTTCTCTGAAGCGGTCTAAATCTGAATCACATTGTTTTTCAAACCAGAGATGGACTTGATTAGCACTATTATTGAACTCGGTTCTTTTAGAGATCCAAAGCAACAATGTACCTGTAGATGATAAACCTTACCAAGATGTATTCTAAATCAAATTAATAAAACATATACCTGTACTTGTTTGGGGTATGAATTTTGTTTTCAACAACACAATAATGTGACCAGACAGACATATTTTTTCAAGCCCTTATCCACTTACCTCAGGCTAAACAAAAATCCTGGATGTTACTTTTTTTTATTTATTTTTTTTAATAATCAGCTTCTATTTTCTTTGGGAACAGTGTTAATGTTTAATTTTCAGAGGTGATTTCTATATCATTAAGACTACAATACAAAAACTTAAAGGTTGTTTCATCCTAAAAAGAGGTCAGTATTTCAAAGAATAAATATATTTCTAAGCTTTACAAGCCTTATCAGTGGAAGACAAGTGTTCCTCATAAAAAGAAGTGAAGGGCCTACTATTAATCACGAGTTTGCTTCCCAGCTGTAATCTAGTGGTTAACAATTAACCGTTTTACATAACATTTTTAAAAGCGTTGCAATTCGCTTTTTCAAAGACCTGACTGAAAATTACCTTGGGTAATGGTACATTTATACCTGAAAATAACAAAAGAACTTGCCGCTTTACTATGAAAATTGATTTGAGAAAGTTAGAAACAGCGTTTCCACGGTGGTCCGCAAGCACATTTCCTTTCTCTGCTGAGCTTTTTATCCGCGCTTTTTATCATGTTTTATACAGTTCTCAACTACGGCTTCTTGTCACTGATTGTCCGTAAATAAATTTGAATGGAAAATTAAACCCTCCTTTGAGCTGGGTACTTGAAACATCAAGCCTCGACAGTTTTACCGCTAATAAAATCATTTTGTCAGGAGTCAGTTGTTAACTTGTAAAATTCGACACTCGCTGAGCTCGTATAAAAGCAGAAAAGAAATCGTCAAAACCGTGACAAAAATATTTAAAATTCTTCCCGGTTTTCTTGTTGTTTTTTAGAAAATTAGGCTGTGCCTTTTTTACAGGTGTTTTGTAGCTGTATACATGTAAGTTTTCGCATAATTTTTATGTAGTTAGGCTTCTCGTTTGGTGCATAAAATTATCGGACGCTGGAGTCATTGTTCGCTCTCACAAGTTCCATTATCATTTACTCAGTCTTTTGCCTCTACCGCTTTTGTACCCTCTAACTGTCTTCGCCAAGAACAAGTACTCTTCATCCTTTATTTCAAAACATGGGCAATATGGGCAATATGCGACGATTAATTAAAGACGCGCAAAACATCGGATGTAAGAGGTTGAATGGCTCTCGATAATGTGACGTCACATTTTTCCACTTTGTTGGAACCGATCACGTCAGCCAGTTTCCTATCCAGTCTTTCTATTATCCATGATGCAGCTATTATGCCAGTGATTTCTCCTTTCGTCGCATAGTGAATAGTTTGTGAGCACATCCTCGACTCTCGAAACATTTGTCTTGCGCCGCTATAGAAGTTGCTTCTCCCGCGAACCATAGGTAGATTTCCCGCTTAACATAATGTTTGATAATTTATGCAAAAGTGACCTCGTGAAAGTCAGCAGTGCATTAATCGACTCAAAAATAAACAGACTTCTTACAGGGTTTTGAACACGGTTTTAATTAAAGTACTTTACGAGCGCTGCGGTAGTTGGCCGCAAAAGTGTTACGGTGATGGATACTCAACTGGATGATTACGTCACTTCATAGCAACCAGACGGTACGAATTTTGTAACTTCCGGAACGCTGAGGCTCGTAGTGGCTACCCAAATGCACGCTGACCATTTTTTTTGCAAATTCCGTACGAACGAATTCGTCCGTTAATTTACGCGCGAGCTACTAGAGTGCCTCCTTGGGGGCTGGGGGGGGTTAGCAATTACCCGGATCCCCTGAGTTCATTTTTGTGAACCTTATTCGACGTAGGCTTCTGATTACTCAGTTTCTTGCAATAAAGCTTTAGGTAAGAATACCCTTGTAGGTAGGAGATAGTCCGTGGGCACTCTTCCTCTATTTGTGCGTCAATTTTCACAAATATGTTAGCGTACCATTTTAAGGTTAAATTTAACCAGCATTTTATGCAGCGAGTTGTTCCTTTAAACATATCTTTTTATAGAAGAGCAAAGCACATTAATGTTAAGTGAATTCCCGCCAAAACACGCAAGTAATAACCCCGTCACGTTTGTCGCACACAAGCGTTTTGCCCTCCGCGTCTTTCTGCGTCTTCAACTATCAACACACACGGGCGCGCCTCACTTGTGCAACTTTTTTTTTTGTTCTTACCACATTTGACATCATACGTGATCTATATTAAAAAAACTTAATAGGCTAAAGTATGTTTTTTTGTAGCTAACAATATTTTGTTGCGTAGAAGAATGTTTCTCCGGCTTAAAGAATTTGATTCGAAACGTACGTTTATACACAAATTTACAGACTTCAGAGACATACTCAGTTGGTTAAGACAGCTTTTATTTCTTACTTTTAAGTTATGTCGTTCCTCACAATTTAAGGTTAACTTTGCCAGGCGATACACGAGATAAAATTTGGTTTGAGGCTGAGTAAATAATAGCCATAATTACAAGAAAAGGACAAACGTTTCATCCCATTAACTAAAGTAACAATACTTAACTCTAAATATTATGCTTATACTAATACATAAGATTATACTTATACCAATAAATCCAAAATTAGACTAGCTAGTCTAATGATCTCAAACCAGATGGATTCTGCAAGGCCGTATAAAGACACGTATAGAACTGATCTTGACATTTTACCCAAGTGTGGAAACAAATGGGTTCACGATCGATCCATTGTTAGTTCTTTTAAAAACGCAAAAGCTGTTTTAGGGTTGATGATCTTCAGATTTGGATTTTAAGCGAAACTCCAGAACTCTTCTTTTGTACAAACTATGGTAATTTAAATTGTAACAATAAGGGTTACTTTCCGTGATGCATTTCTAAATCTTTTTAATTCTCTTACACTACTTACCCTTTGGGGTATTTCGTTTAAAGCAATAGAGCTGCTTTAGACTCGTACGCGTAAATTGACCGTAAATCTTAAACCTACTAGAACTGCTTTAACCGCGAGCAATCTATTTTTGAAAGAAACGACTCTTAAATTAGGCTATGTTTTTAACCACACCAGCTGACTTATATTGATTAAAATTATAAACCAGAAAGTTTTTTCCTCAGGCCGCAACCTTAAGTTGGTAAGTCTAACCTAAACGGCGATTGAAATGGAAGAAACAGCTCTCTGCATGTCGAGCCCGCTGTCGCCGCCTATTTCGCCCGTTTTGGACTCTTGCACTTGATAGTACGCTTTAGTCTCGTCCAACTGTTTCAGATCAAGGTATTCTACTTGCTCAGTCATGGTTCTTTCAAGCCTTTCAACTAGTTCCTGAAAACTTGGTCGTTCATCCGGGTGCTGTTTCCAGCACTCCATCATAAAGGCGTAACTAACAGATAACAAAAAAGCATTTTTTTTAATCCTCAGATGAACAAGGATAGGATGAATAACAACCCCAGAGGTTTTTTTTTTTCATTTTTTGTTGTAAAGCCCGTTTTTACAAAATTGGGTGACAATCGGTCGTAGTTAACAAACCTGATGCCCGTTACTTATGGCGTACATTTGCGGACAAAAATAATTGAAAATATAATACAATTTGAAGTTCAAAAGTTAGACTATCCATGTCGAAATCTCGTCATATGAATTTGAAATCCCAATGAACGCAGTCGAAATAGCATCATTCGAACTTGAAGTTACTACTTTGAACAAGTTGAAACTATAAAGGGAAAACTCGACATCGGGGATGTTAAGTTCAAATCACCATTCCAACTAAAATGCAAAATACATGATTTGAACTTCAATTTACCTTCTCCACTCTAATAAGCTACTTAATCGTCAACAATGCAACCATAATCTCCCACAAAATTCCAAATGAAACCTTTAATTTGAACTTAAAGTCACGTCACAAATTCGAATTCGAAAAACCAAAATTTCAATTCGAAAGGAAGCGGAAGTAAAAATACACAGGAACCGGAAATGATAAGAGTTTCGCTACACTGTACATACGGGATGTTTGTATAACTGCATTTTGGCGCGAAATCGAACTCTCTGGTCAATATGGCGGACAATTCTAGCTTTATCTGTTCAAATCAAGCAATTGTAGGTCTGCTCCGTTACATTTGCCCAATTATTTTATTCAACAATCTAACTTATCTATAAAAAACTATGTTTAGTGAAAATGGCTTACTCTAAATCGATGTGGCATGGGTGATACTAGCCTTCCTATTTCTACAAAATTTGTGGACCTTTTAAGTACCGTAAAAGTGCTGTGAGAAGTTATAACCGTTATAATGGCTAAACTATTTTCGGATAAAAGTAGGTAAATGAAAGGAGGAAGCATAATTCTTTGCCACTGTATGAGTCACGATTACGTTATTTTAATGATAAAGCTAGAATTAATTATCGTAAACGTCCTTCAGTTCACCAACATGGCGGTCCCTCGAGGCCTTGTCAAAACTGTCATTCCTGTATGTTTGGAACCAAAGAGAATTCAAACCTTAGCATATGCATTCAGTATTTAGGAAACCATTCTAAGACTACATGCCAAAAATCAGCCAAATTCGACGAGGTACCGTGTCAGGCCGAAGTTCAAATTTTACAGAAAACCACCCTTAAGTTTGCCACGACAGCCCCTCACAATCTCTTGGATTGTCCTAGAGTCACCCTTATTCGAGTGAAGGGAAAATCTTTTCGCGCCAAAATGCAGTTATGCAAACATCCCGTATGTAAAGTGTAGCCAAACTCTTATCATTTCCGGTTCCTGTATATTTTTACTTCCGCTTCCTTTCGAATTGAAATTTTGGTTTTTCGAATTCGAATATGTGACGTGACTTTAAGTTCAAATTAAAGGTTTCATTTGGAATTTTGTGGGAGATTATGGTTGCATTGTTGACGATTAAGTAGCTTATTAGAGTGGAGAAGGTAAATTGAAGTTCAAATCATGTAATTTGCATTTTAGTTGGAATGGTGATTTGAACTTAACATCCCCGATGTCGACTTTTCCCTTTATAGTTTCAACTTGTTCAAAGTAGTAACTTCAAGTTCGAATGATGCTATTTCGACTGCGTTCATTGCGATTTCAAATTCATATGACGAGATTTCGACATGGATAGTCTAATTTTTGAACTTCAAATTGTATTTTATTTTCAATTATTTTTGTCCGCAAATGTACGCCATAGTTACTAGCCATTTTTTTCTTTAAACTATGAATTTATTTAATTTTGGACAAGCGGGAATGAACTGAGAGAGGGATACACGGAACTTTTCTGATGAACCTATTTGAAACCTATTTTAGCTTACAAGTCAACCGGGAAAATCAAGAGCCGTCACAAACGAAAAAAATATTTTGAATGAGTAATATATTTATTTTGTTACTAGTTAATAAATCTTATTATATGCCTAGGAATTCTAATGGCTTACAAGTTGTCCGAGCACAGGTCAGGTTTTTCCATTCGGTGCCCCGTTCTAAGGAGACTCATGACCTCAGCGTTGTTCAGTAGTGGATAAGGTGAACCTCCTGCAAGAAAATTAAAAATAGTCTCGCCGATTATGATAGCGAGAGCTCCACGCGCACGCGGGGGGAGCGAGCGAGCGTGGGCGGAGCCCCATAACTAAGTAAATCTACCCATCCCAGAAAAAATGGTAATCACGTGACCGTACACCAAGCGATCGAGCGACCGTCCGTCCGCACCACAGGGCAACCAATATTTACTCTCACACTTTCTAGCTAGTTTGGGAGCCCAGAAGAAAACTGATTGCACAACAATGTTGTGATCAATTGACAGCTGTCAAAACAGGGTATCCGCTGACCAGTATCACCTGACCGTATCGCGGGCTCAGGTATAGACCCATCGAGGTCGAGTAGTTTTTTGAAGTTATCCGCTGACAAGTTATTAGTTTTCAAATGATCACAGGCTCAAGTTTATTTTTCTAAAATTCATATGAAATGTTTGTGTTTATGTCACTATTCCCCCGCACTATTAAGATTTTGATTTCAAACTGACCTTGGACGTGAAAAATCAGCTAGTTATTTAAAAATACAGGCGGGGAAGACGTTTTCTTACCATGGTCTCGTGGTTGCTCTGATTGGTCAAAATTTGACAGGTGAGTTCATGCGGAGAAACTACGCAGCGTCTTGAAACTTGTTTACTTTGACAGATGAAGCTGACAGAGTTTTGTGTCACCTTGTGATGTTTTCAACTGTCTTTTTCCACTGGATTACAAAATGAATACAGCTGCTATAAAGAGTCTTCTGTTATTCATGGCTGGTTTGTTTATTAGGATTTTGGTTGAGAAATGCGTCGCCTGTAAAGGTCGGAAATCCTATTTCGGATGGCATCGTTTTCTTTTTTCACTTTGCTTGATGCGTAAGACGGTTTAAAAGTCTCAAGCGATTCTGGCCTTACTTGATAGCTTTCAGGAGCTGCATCTCGAATGATAAGCCTGAGTAATTATTGTATTTAACGTTTGCTTTTATTTCTTGAAGTGTGGCACAGTTTATGTGGCAAGTTTATGCACGTTTGTTAACCTGAGATCAGGCCCAATTTGAGCGGTTCTCATACATTCTCTCTAGCGGCTACCGCTAAAATTGGGCCTGATCCAAACTCATTCACGTTTGTGCTCGTTACGGGCAGATTTTGGCCGTAATGCCGATTGGCTGTTAGAAAAATGCCACAAGATCTGATTGGCTGTCGGAAACGCCCGAAGTTGACAGCGCTTATTCCTCGCGTGGTTGTTTTCGTGAATGATCCGTCGAAGGCGGAGAGAAGGATCGATTTTGCTGTCTTTTTTACTGTTTTATGGTCTTATGGTAGGAAAATATTCCTTAATATGTGCCATGGAAATTCAGGAAATTCATATGGTTGTTCATATCTTCTCAGGATTTGCTTTATTTTAATTAATACGGAAGGTGAGTGTATCGCGGAGTTGAATCCCTCTGCAAGTTGTTGACCGCTAACAAGGTGCCTTTTGATTTACCAACAAACGGGTACAAATCAAAATACTGTGCATCTTAAAACTGGTGTCATCTGAAAGTTTAGCCGGGAATGACTTCTCTGAACGGGGTAAGCAAGCGGAGGCTCTCTGCGAAAGAACCTCAATGGCCAACTGTGAAGTGTTAGACGAAAATTATCGCATCGCTGTTCAAGGAATTTTCAGTGTTAACAGACTGGTTGTTTGCCTTCGCTTTTTGTAAAAAATAAACCAGGAAAACTGGTATCCTCGCTCGTTGGCTGTTTGCTTTTGTTTTCAAAGATTTATGCGCTGAAAATCGGGCGAAATTGCCGAGGAAAATACTAAGGTAACGGAAAAATAGAAATTCCAGTATTTAAAATTCGAGCGCGCTTAGCCAAAATAATAAAACTAGTAGAACATCGTGTCGCCGTCTTTTCGAAAACTTCTTACCATCTACGCCAACAGTAAGAACCTTCGAGATCTCCCTTAATCTCGCAAGAAGTTAAATGTGATTGTGCTGACTGTTTTATTTTTAGCTGAAAAAATTAACAGATAAAAGCTATTTTTTAAGTCAGCCAGTCTTCATTTTTCACACGCGTGAAAAATTTGCATACTAGAAAAACAAGCAACGGAAGTAATTTTGGTTGGCGGATTCGGCAAATGTCAATCAATCAAAAAAGGGGGCGGCAGACGCTTCGTAGAAGGTTTGTATCAGGCTCTCTTTTCGTTTCGCCATGCCTGCCGGAATGTTATTTACAAAGCGAAACGAAAATAGAGCCTGATCTCAGGTTACACGTTTGTAAGATTTGAGACAATGATCTGACCTAGTCAGGTAGGTTTGATATAAGCTTATAGAACTTTAAAAGGCCTTTAGATATATTTTCTCAAATAGAGAGAGAAACCGTTCCGAAGAATATTTAGTATAAGAATATTTGTCCTTCTGATCCCTTACCAGTCCCTTTCAGTGAGAATTTCTTCAAAGCGCTCGCCAGTTGTTAGGCAGTTAAAAACTCTGTACTGACCATTTTCTTGTTTGATTATGCACTTGTTAAACCAGATGAAGCCTAAGTAGCCCGAGCAGTTCTAGCTGTTGGGGAGGGCGACGGTGAGGAGCGAAAGGAGAATGGGGCAGAACCGCACCTCTCGGTGTCCCCCATCCCTTCCTAAAGAAAAAGCTACGCGGGCGACAAAGTAAGTAGAAGTTGGAATATTACCTAAAGTTGCAATTTCCCACATAACGATTCCATATGACCACCTAAAATAGAAAAAAATAATAAACGAAACAAATAAGTAAAATAAATAAGCCCAAAATGTTGCCTTTTGCCCATAAAACGTAGACCATGAAAAACGCTTCCTAAGACTAGTATTGCTGCTGTAAATAGTTTACGACATGGCCTACATTTATCGAGAAGCGTCTTATTTTGTTTAACTTTTCGGCTAAAGGGTATGAAATGGAATGAAAACATGACGGGTTGATCTTGACAAATTTTACAATGAAAGGAACGTTTTTTGCACATCTTGGAGCGTTTAACCCAGGTAAGTAACCCTTTCAGAGGAAACTTACACTCAAGGGAATTAAAAAGCCTAAGTTATGTTAGATAAAATATACACATAAACAAGCCTCAAGCAGCGACGCATACTTAAATGAACGGAATTTCAAGGTTTCTTGAGCACGTTGAATCGGTGTTATACTCGGCTGTATTATGTGAAAAATAGCACATACACGTCGCTTTTGGAGGTGAAGATTTGTTCACAAATCGCCTCTGGTGCCATCCACTTGATGGGCAGTTTCTTCTGCTTTTTAACTTCATACAGCTCATGATACATTTCGCGCATTAAACCAAAGTCTCCAATCTTTAGTTTTTTGCCGTGCCCAACAAGAATGTTTCTTGCAGCAAGATCCCGGTGAACTAAGCCCTTCTCAGAGAGGTAGCTCTGAAAAGTGTACACCCAGTTAGTAAGTGAATGAGATAAGTAGTCAGGTATAAACACCTAATTCAATTAAGGTTGCTTTGGCAATTGGTCATTGGCGATTGGGTATCGGGTATTTGGGCATACAGAACAAAGCAATAATTTGCTTAAGTGACCACCAAACGATAGCTTTCCAGTGCCTATTTATCAATGGCCAAAGCAACCTTTATTGAATCAGCGATATACGTTTGCAAGTATGACCAAACATGACTCTTCAGAAAAAAGAAGCATCCATTTTAATCGTTTGTTGAAAAAAAAAAATAACCCAGATTGGCTCAACTGGTAACTTGTGACGTGACGCTGTCAGTGGCCTATTGATTTAGTTTCATCATGACATTACAAAGCTCCTTTTTTCCTGTTGTTCTCTGTAAATTATCCTCATCCTTGATACCAATGTAAGTCCAAATAACCAAGTAAACACCGCATAAACAAACGGATGATTGAGTTTTTTTTCCCGAAAATTATTCATTTTCTGTAATACTCTCTTTACAACATCTTTAACCCTCTTAAGTTTATTAAAACTTTGCAGCATTTGTGAAATCAGAAAATTTTACTGCGGCAACACTGTAACAGGTCATGGTTTTTCAAGAGATTCAACCCACCATTCCTCGTGCTATCTGCCACGCAAAGGACATCGCGTCAGTTGGATGAAATGTCTCACAGTCGTTATCACACTCTTTTTCATTTGTGTTTGGTGCAGCTTTCTCTTCCTGGATCGACGACCAGAACACTGTCATTGGGATTTTGCATTGATCAGCACCGTCAAAATAGCTTCCTCTTTGTTCACCCTCGCCGTCAGGAAAACTTGAAGGTCCCTCACTTGATTCGGATATATTTGGTCTGTTTTCAACTCCCTCTGTATTCTAAACAGTTCATGTGATAAGAGCAGATACCGTAAATGGTCTATTAAGCTTCCCTTCCCTCAGGCAAACGCCGCTCTATAATAAGACCCCTTTTCAGGGGAAGAAGGTTAATGAACCCAGCGGCCATCTCTTTTAAAACCTCACTTCCATCCCACTAATTATTCTTCACAACTGAGTTAATAAACGATGGACTGTATTGGTGACAGTGCGACTACTTACGGCAAGGGGGCCACCTTGACAAAGTTAACAAATCGGATTACAAGAAGATACTTATTCACTCCGAGAAATTTGTTTGTGGGCCAAACAGCTGCCTTTAAAAAACAACAAGTTAGTCGAAGAACAAAATAAAACAATGTTTTTCTACCGGAAACTTAACATACTGAACGCTCAGGAGACATATTTGTTTGACTCAAGCTGTTATTTAATTTGTCAACTACCAGTAATTTCTTTGCTAAGATTGCCACGCTTTGCAAAAAGCATGTGTCCTCAATTCAAAAACATAACCACAGCTATCCCAAACTCACCAACTATATCTGGCAATGTTGCGATTTATAGGGCTTATTTGGGAACGGTAAAAATCCGAAAAAACTCGCCTTATTGCTTATTGTACGGAAACGATATAAAGTACCCTTACTTGTGTTCTATTTTGTGTCCTTGTGTATTTCTGAGGCGATTTCTGGGTTCATGGTTTTGCCATACTGTCTTAACCACATTTTAATGAAGGGTAATTATCGCGAGTACCGAAGGCACGAACCTTGAAGGGGGGTCTGGGAAGAAGATTTTCAAATTTGGAGGGTCTGAAACGCTATTTTCAACACTTGTAATGAGATATGACTCCGAAAAATAGACCTCGAATATGAAAATGGCAAACAATATTGCAAGTCACTATAATCATAATAACTGAGTCTAAAGAAAACAAATCCATCCACAGACTTAAGGTGTGTGGCTTACAGGACCAGGTGGGGCAGCTGCCCCCCTTCCCCTTTTAACCCCCCCGCTAGCTACGGCTCTAGAAACATGCGGAACATAAATTCAACGCTAATCTTGGACAAGTTTAAACTTTTACGAACCTACACCAGTGTGAAAAAGGAAGGGTTTTTGAGGTAGAGGAGGAAGAGGAGCTGTTTTAAAGTTTAGTCCGTAGCTTTTGAAATCTTATTCACCAGGGGATGATTTGGTGGGAAAATATGATCTTGTCGTATCATTTTAACAAAGATGCAGCATTTGTCCCCAGCAAGATAGTACATAACAAGAGTCACACACCTACAAAAACTGCCCCACAGTCTATTTCAAAGCGAGTTTACATTTTAATTTGGTCCAATGCTAAACTGAAATTAAACCGTCTTTTTCCTTCTCATACTTCGATTTTTCACGCTATGAACTCTTACGATAGGTATCAGGCAACTCTCTCAAGGAAAACAACATACGCATGATCAGATTTTGGTCAAACTTTCGACAACACAAGAATTTCATCACAAAAAGTTGACCAAACTCTTTCAAGAATTAAGGAAACAGGCATTCTTACCCGGGTTCCGGAATTCGGGAAACGTTTGCTTATGGTGAGCCCAAAATCCTGGGCTTTGGAAGAATTCATGCCGAGGAATCTTAAATTCCGCTAACGATCTGGAATCCAAGTCCCACTGATAAGGCCCGGAACCCAATGCCAGAAAGTCATGATCCACAGCATGAAACCCAGTATTTTAAGACTATCTTGGATTAGCTTTCTTAGAGCGAGTTTTCAATTATTTCGGAGTACTCTTAGATTTTTTAGAAAGTACCAAAATGTCTAGACATGGCACCTTTAACACTTCATCAGTTTGTGAAATGATTCTCACTAATATAGCCGTCGTGACTTGTTTCTAAATTTTATTCGCTTGAGGTAACCTAAGACGTCAGTTAGATTTTAATTCACAGTGAAAGAGACTGACGCTTACAACATCAGCTCCTTCGATCCCTAAAATGTTTTTTGTTTGTTTGCTTGCTTGGATTTTTGAACAGTATTTTATAATTTATAATTACTTGAGAATCTTTCCGTTGGTTTTCATTTGTTTTGGTGCAATATTAATTGATTTTTTTAAAACTAAACTGACATGATCGAAATCTTCTAAGATGCGTGGCCGTTTCAAGAAGGCGACCAAGTGGGATCATGACACGTAGTGACAAGAGACAAACTTGTATGGTCCCAGTCATAGATGTAGTCCCAAACGGTCTAAATGAGGTTAGACTATGCCCTTTTAAGACTAACAAACTTTGAAATGTATACGTACCTGAGGTGATGCCGAAGATACCAGCTTGGCGATTTTGCACTCATCTTCACAATAAAAATCACCCTCGTTTTGATCCATCAAATCAAAAGCAGAACACGTTTTGACTTTCGGTACTCCCAAGTTAATTGCTTTCGTTTCAGTTGACGAATCATCCTAAATGGTTCAGTCACAACATAATATTACCACTTATGATAAGAAGGTGGTTGTTTAAAAACAAGTAGAGGGTGTTTTATGGTGTTTAGAAATGCACTGATGGGAAGTGAACTTCCTCGTTATTCCCGCCAGAAACATGACTTGTAAACTCAAACAAAATCTAAATTTTAACTTCGCACAAACTGCTCATGGACTGAAAAACAAGCAAACTCGGGGCAAGCAGTAGGTAGGTGTGTTTCGAATATATATATATTTTTTAATGATTGTTTTCTTTGTAAGAAAAAAAAGATTTGGTGTGCCGAAGTTTACCTAAACAAAGCCAGATGTGTGTCCTTCCTCGTTTCAGCAATTTAACATGCGCATATCCGTGATCTAAGACACGCTAAGCGTGTCGTGCAAGCGTGTTGTGCGCATGCTTTCACATTTAGCCACAAATAGGGGTATGTGGCTGCGTCAATGAACAGTTGCATATTCTTGCAACACAAAAAAGAGTTAAAGTGGTTACTTAAATTTAACCAATTTTTGACCGCTTAAGGAGTAATTCTCAATCCTTAACTTATTGCGGCTAATAATAATAATAATAATAATAAAAACAGGCAAAGTATTGAACATGCACAAGATGTTACATCCTAAAGCAGATGTGGAAAGGCTGTACATCCCAAGAAAAGATGGAGGTAGGGGCCTGATTGATGTAGAAACAGCATTCAAAACAGCAACAATAGGGCTTGATCACTATCTGAAGTACAAGGAAGGGCAATATCCAAAGCAGGTGCTTGAACATGAAAGATCTAAAGCCAAAAATTCAATATCCAAGAATGCTACTAAATTCAAAAGGGAAGTAACAATGCCAGAAATTGAGAACAGAGTAGATAAATCTGCCTCTGAAAATGCTAAAGCCCTGAAACACTTGTTTAAGTCCAAGATGAAGTCAATGAAAGAAGAAAAGTGGAAAAACAAAGCATTGCATGGCCAGTATCCAAAGATCCTAGAGAAGCCTCATGTAGACACAGTCACCACCAACAGATGGTTGTCAGGTAATTTGAAAGGAGAAACAGAGGGACTACTTGTAGCAGCTCAAGACCAGGCAATAAACATCAGAAACTACCAGAAAGTAATATGTGGCCAGCAAGTGGAGAGTAAATGCAGAATGTGTTCGCAACATGAAGAGACAGTGGACCATATTGTATCTGGATGTGAGGTATTAGCCAAAACAGAGTACATCTCCAGGCACAATAATGCTGCAGCATATCTCCATTGGAGCATATGTAAAGATAATGATATAGAGATTACAGACAAATGGTACGAACACGAACCAGAGACCGTGATACACAATAAAGATAACAACATCACCATCATGTGGGACATGCCAGTCAATACTGATAGAACTAAAACAGCGAACAGACCAGATATCATGGTTAAAGATTCAGTGAATTCCACCTGCAAACTTATTGATACGACTGTTCCATCAGATAGAAACATCGCACTGAAGGAAACTGAAAAAAAATGCAAGTACAAAGACCTAGAACTAGAAATACAGAGAATGTGGCATATGAAAACCGTAGTGATCCCTGTGGTTGTTGGTGCGCTTGGTACAGTGAAGAAGGGTATGGTAGAAAACATCAAGAAAGTATCAGAAAGAGCTAATATGACAGAGATTCAAAAGATCTGCATGCTGGGATCTGCACGAATCCTCAGAAAGGTGCTCAGTGTATGAACAGAATGATTGACTTGAGTGACTGACGCTCTAGGTGCATGGTTTGCGCCCGGCTGATGCGCAAAAAGAACACCAGCAAAGACTTGATAATAGAGACAATAATAATAATAATTGGCTTTATTTCAAGATAGTAATTTCACAGAAAGAATTATAAGTTATATTTTAAGTAGTTGCTACCTGATCACCAATCACATTCGTGTTCCAAGTTGGTGTCCCAGCGTACAGCTCTGTGTCTTTGGCATTAGCCCTTGGTGTGACTTTTAGCACAGAACTGCTTATCTAATCAAAGGCGACAGAACAGAAAAGAAAAAAATGAATAGGGCAAGACATCGTGGACACTGATTTCATTTTGGCTTACTATACATTGTATAAACAAACCATCTGGCCTTGAGGGAAACAATTAGCCTTGCTTTTTCTAGCAGAAAAGAAACGTCCATGCTAAAATATGCGAGAAAAGAGGTCACGGAAATTTTCTTCTTTTCGCTTGGGTATTTTCTGGATCCTTTTCTCCAAAAAGTTCTATATTTATTTTTCTTTCTTCCTTTATTTTTTTTTCTTTTTTTCTAAGGGTTGCTTTTTTCTCTCGTTATTGAAGAATCGTGGCCAGAAATCTCGGACTTAGCGCCCGCAGAACAACAGCGGCTTTCTCCTATTTCTGAAAGAACCATGTCGATCAAGTTTAAAAAAATGGATGTATCCAGCGAAAATCGTAGTTGGAAATTTCTCGCTTTCCTTTCTTTTAAAAAGTGTCTGTAATTCCACTGTAGTACGATTTTTATTATTTTTAAATGTCTTCATTTTTCTGTTTATCCAAGATATTTAAAAGATATGTTTCGCTTACGCTCCAGCACCTATTTTTAAGAGGACATAATATGCTCTGTTTGCCTAAACCATTGACCACTTCTTATGGTATCAATTCCTTTAGTTACTTGGCAGCAACATCTTGGAATTCTCTTCCTGACCATTACCGCACTATTTCTGATTTTACTTCTTCGCGACAACTAAAAAGGGCAGGAACTGCAGACCTTTCTACATCAAGATTATTTGCAAGTTAGTTGTCTAGGTAGTTAGTTATCTTATTTGTTATATAGAATTAACTTTTTATTATAATTATTTATTAATGTAGTTGGCTCGAAGATATTAGCACTTGAGTACTACACTGTAAATTCGAGGGTAAATAAAGTTTATTGATTGATTGATTGATTGATTGAGCGATATTTCGGCCTTCCTCTGCTTGATTTTGTTCCAACACGCCGGGTTCGAAAGCATGTTTCATTGACAATATTCACTGGATTCACTCAGGAAGTACTTGGTATCACCCGTACGACCCAAAGTACCGGGTATCACCCGCCATAGTAGGTACTATAGTTCGACTAAGAAAGTGCTGTACCGGATGGTGCAGTATGATGGATAGAACGGGTGTGTAATTGCACGTTTATTGCTCTTATTGTAAAATCTGGTACAGCACGCTGTCACTGAGGTTATATTTTTACGTTTAAAGCAGTATTTAATGGGCCGGTAAGTTGTGAAAGACTTTATTTTGTTCATTATTTTTGCCTCTGTCGTTTACCTATTCTTGCTGGTGTTGTTAACGCTTAAACAGACCAGTTCGTTTGATTTGGCAGGCGGACACTGCTGTAAGCAGGAGAAGAACAGCGTAGTGCGAACATTTCGGATGATGGCAGTGAACAGGATCGCGACGATTACGACGTGGACTGATATTCTCTGGCAGGTATGTTGTGTAGCTTGGCTTTTTGATTTTAGCGATGAGCTATGAAACATCTTGATGTAAGCTTAACACTGATCTTCGCTATAAAAAGACTGTTAAGAGTAGACGATGTGTGGGCCAAGTTACGACAACCTACTCTAACGACAACTTTTCAAAAGAAGGTTCAAAGAGCAAAGCGTGTCACCTCTGTGACTCCGAAGTTGGTATTCTTCGTCCTTACTTGGACTGCATTGCAACAACAAAGGTTTGCGAATCTTGTGCTATTTCACGACAAATTAGGTAAGACGAAGTTGGTCCCTGATCTAGGTACATAAGTTGGTATAATTTGCATTGGTACGAGTTAATTGAAAATGTAAATTTTTACAGGTTCAACACGCACTTTAAATCAAATTGTTGTAAATCCAGTAAATCCCCCTTATCCTTTTAAACTTCATGCTAATTATTCTATTTTTGAAATAATGTTCGTGGAAGGTACAAAGAATAAGTACTTGTACACATGTATTCTCAACTGCTCTAACTGCATCTCATTGAATTTGCTTAAACCTGGCTAGAAACTGCTCTCAGATCCCTTTGTCTACTACGTTCAGTTTGTCAGTTATGACAATGTATCATTTACCTTTTTTTCTAAATTAATATCTTATTAAATTTTGTATATAAAAGCTGAAGTAGACGGTCTATTTCGATTTTATAAATATATACCAGCCTTACTATCACCTGCATCCCCAACTACCTCTGCTTCTCAACATTAGCCTTAGTTTCTGTGTGAGCTTCTGTGCACCACCATCACAAAGATTTTCCTTACTTCCCGTTGTTCGGTGGTTTTACAGATCCCATTTGAAACCAATGTATGCGTTAGAAGCCGGCCCCCTTTTTTGTTTGTCATTTTCAGTAGATTTCCTTTCAAAATGGTTGTAAAACAAGTTTATTTAAAATGCATCTTTGATCCTTGTTTCATTCTTTTATGTGCCAGATTTGTTTATTGTGGAAAGTGCACTTAGTATATCCAGCTATTTCTACAGGAACTCCACGCAATTCATTACGGGAAGAAATAATTCGAATATTAAAACATGACAGGATTTAAAACCCCAACTGACACTGAGGCAACCAGTAAAACTAAGAACAAATCAGGTAAGTGATCACAGCAGGACTCGAACCGAGGACAGCTAGATTGCAAACTCGTCTGATGTTCTTCCTTACTAAGTCAGTCACTTCCTCCTGTGTACAGAATTTTATAATTATTGTTTATGAGGAGGAAAATTATATATTCAATTGAACCTCCACGAATCAGTAAGCCACCTCTCCACAACGGCCACCTCTATTACTGTTATAGGATCTTTCAATGAAGCTAAAATCAATACTTAGTAGAGACTATTCTAACAAGTTCATATCCCAAGCAAGTCAAAAACACAACGCACGCGGTTCCCCGTTTTCAGGGTGTACATGTAAGTCAGTCGGAGGCTCCTAAGGGGGATCCCCACAGGTTTCAATGTTACAACATCTTCTCCCCCTAACACGATTCAATAAGTCTTTGCGGCCTCCTAACTTGACACCCAGATCTGGTTGTAACGGGAGTTTGTGAAACTGTTTCTGTCTGTCTCTCTAGTGTCACTGGACTTGGCGGTGGCTTCTTAAATACAAGTGCCAATCTTGTACACGCAAAAGAGTCATGAGGTTGGGTACTTGTGGGAGGAGTCCTTGTCCATGGGGTCATGGGAGAATCATTTGGAACAGAGATTATTTGTCTTGTATTTCTCCTGTAAATACGTCCATATTCATCTTCCATCATATATGATCTTGGTATTACTTCAGCTTTGCGCCATTCCCTTTTACCATTTGGACGAAACCGCACAAATCTCTACTCTGCTTGTCATAATTAGAATTGGCATTATGCTGTCGCTGATGAAGCGTTTTCAGAAGATGATCACGATCCACTGGCTGAGGTAACAAGAGACATTGATGAGTTGGTATCACTGTTCGAGTGCGTCGACTCATCAGCAGCTGTGCAGGTGACACACCGATATCTTCGAATGGGTATTGCGATACTTTAACGGTCCCTCAAATGGGTCTCTGCTGCAGCCTTCTTAAGAGTGCGTTTTGCGGTCTGTACGGCTCTTTCAGCTTAGGCATTTGATTGAGGATACTCCGGTGAGCTGGTTGTATGGGAAAATCCCCGCTCTTCAGCGAATTTCTTGAACTCATGGTTGTTGCTAAACAAATTTCTGGTGTTGCTGTACTGCGGTCCGTTGTCGCTGACAACCTTTCTTTGGGATTCCAAACCTCGCAAATATTTTCTTCAAGTTGTTGACGAGTCAAATGGCGGTGTTATGGCGAAGCTGTTCTATTTGAAAGTACTTCAAATAGAAGTCAGTAACTAACAGGAACGTTTGGCCACCATATTCAAACAGGTCAGTCCCTACTACTTGCCAAGGTAATCCTGGAATGTCATGAGGATGTAACGTGTCTCTCTGTTGTCGGTTGCGGAACGCATTACACACGGCAGAGGAACTAACTTTGTCTTTGATTTGGGCAGTCATGGAAAAAAACATAATAATAAAAACATAAAACAATCCCGGCCAAGTTCATCAACTTGTTCTTTCTTAGAGAGCCATCCTTTCAAAACGTACTCCATAACCACTATTGATGTCTCATCAGCACTTGCGGGGTGCTGCTTTCTAATCCAAGGTCCTCAACAAGATTAACTCCGATTACATCTTTGGGTTCACTGAATAGTTCAGTTTCACAGAGAAGTTCTCTGCTAAGGTGGTCTGAAATGACTTGTTGTTTTCCAGGGACATAACGCAACACAAGGTCATACTTAGTGAGTTTCAGCAGCATACTCTGTAGCCTGGGAAGGGCCTCATTCAGTGGTTTCCGAAAGATTGACTCCAGCGGTTTGTGGTCTGTCTCAAAAATAACTCTACGCCCGTACACATATGTGTGAAACTTTTGCATTCCCCATACAAACGCTTACAGCTCTCTTTCAATATTTGCATACATCTTCCCTGAGGGAGTCAATGTCTTTGAACTGAAGGCAACTGGTTTGCCCTCCTGCATGATCACTGCACCAAGGCCTGTGCTATTGGCATCATCACTTAGCACCGTTACTTTGCTGTTATCAAAGTATGCTAACACTGGCGCACTAGTGATGACAGACTTGAGTTTATCAAAAGCCTCTTGTTGTGGTTTCTCCCACACGAATGCTACATCTTTCTGAATAAAGTAGTGGATAAGGCACCGGTTACTCCTTTTTTGCGGATTTAATTAACTTTTTGTGCGGTATAAATTAACGCAGATGACGTCATGCATCTCATTGAGACAGGATGATGTCATAGTTTAAATTAATGGCGATGACATCATGTATTTCAATCAGATAGGATGATGTCATAGTTTAAAGTAATGCCGACGACGTCATGCATCCCATTAAGATAGGATGATGTCATAGTTTATTTGTGGCTGGCAAGGAGCAAGTGACATCAGAATTTCCTAGAGTTGACGTCAAAAAATGTTGAGATCATAATCTATAAACAGAAAAATGATTTTTTATATAATCAGCTATTTGCGATACTTTTCTTATTGGATATTGTAGAAACTGTTATGTGTTCAAAATAAAAGCGGGCAAATTTTGAACGTGTTATCTTTGCAGATTATACTAAATGAAAAATCTTTAATCATGAAATTATTTTCACTAAAAATCGGTTATAAGCAAAACCAAGACACGGAGGTTAACTGAAAAATCTTTACTTCAAAAGAAGGGAAAAGGAGGTTAAGCGAATGCGAAATCGTACTAATTTTTCGGGCAAAACATGAAAACGAGGTCGAAGCTCAGCGAAGCGAAAAACTGCTTATCAAGCAAAAATGTCAATCTTTGTTTACTTGACTCTGTAGGAAGTATTGCACAGGGTACAAAAATTCTATAGAAAACAACAGGTGGTTCTAAAGTAAACCCTATTTTTTTTGGTTCTTGAATAAACTCCATTCTAGTAACTAATAAGTGGAACGTCTATTAAAAGAATATAGGAATAAGAGGTGCGATCGCCTAGCAACACATGTCTTCTTATTTAGCGCTAAAAATTGGATATATAAACAAAACACACACACACACATACAAAAAATGGAGCTGAAAACTCTCTATTTCAATTTTGACTCACCATTACAAAAGCGTTTTCTCCGTTCCTTCTCGAGAAAACGACTAACTATTGAAGTCTCAGCGCTTGATGAGCTTATGGTCTTGTCAATTCAAGCGCCGTTAGTCAGTTAATTATGCCGGTTAACCAGCCCAAACTTGAATACAAATTAGTTCATCTAAAACACGCGACAAATAAATTGACAAGACAAAAGATACAGTTTTAAAAACTTTATTGAAAACCAGTGAGAAAATAAACAGCGATTTGGAAGGGATGGAAATTAATCATCTTCTTCGCCCATGGAGTACTTGTAAGGTCTAACTCGAAATTTCTTATGCCGAGTTCGTTTCCTCTGTTTGCCATGAGCATTATGATCATCCAAATAATTTACAAATTGAATCCGACGCCTTTTGCGCTTCGGGCCTTGTGATGGGGGCGGGGTTTCTTCTGTGGGAGGAGGGGGCTGGAAAGCAGGATTTAAGGTTAGTAGTGGGGTGGAGCTTTCGTTTTCAGGTTTATGTAAGATAGCCGCTTGTGTTAATTTAGGTGTTACGTTGAAGGGGTTAATGGGAGGGGAGAATGCTGCCGTTGCTGTCGAAGAATCTTGTGTGCTTGATGTTAAGTCTGGAACAGTGCTGATTATTTCTTCCGGTCGGGTTCTTGTATTTAATTGTTCTTTAAAAGCCAGGTATCTGTTTTACAACTGAAATTATCTCTTAGCTTTTTCATCGTCCCGAAGATCGTTTCGAGAAAGCAAGTCATCCATGTTGCCCTGTATTTCTCGCATAGCTGGAAGAAGTGGGGCAGGCGAAAGATTTTGCTGCTTTAGATATTTTAAAAGTTCTTGAGGAATATTTTCTTGAAACCCTGCTTGGTTAAAACCTTCTTCACTGGGCAGGACATTTGTTCGCAGTCGGCAATTATCTTGGGTAGTAGTTTTCAGATCAATCAGCAGATAACCAAAAGGTCTTTTTACAGGCTCTTCGTACCGATTTAAAAAGAAATCAGTTTGCCCGGGATGCATTTGCTTGGCAAGAGTCAAGATTTGCAATTTGTCTCGTGGGTTCTTGAATAACACCAAATAATGGCTGTTTAGGCTTATGCTGCGACTACCTTTCCCCTGTTGAAATAGATTCTGCACGATATAAATCACGCTTAGATTACGATGATGAGAGCCACGAGTAAAGAGGTTCACAATTATTCGCTTATCTATACTGGCGTCAATCATTTGATCATCAGAAACGATCAACTTCCGTTTGTTCACATCAAAATAGGAATCCTGCTCCAAAGCCGTGGGAAGTCCTTTGACGAATTCAATGTGTGGCATGGCGCCTAGCATTTCTGTATACGCAGGCTGCCATTGTGAATAACACCAAACAATCCTCTCCCGGGGGGAGGGTAAATTGTCTCTGAAGCTTGTTGCAATAGAGATCGAACCCAGGCCGTTTTTCCTGAGCCGGTCATTCCGGTGATCATGGAGGTAAAAGGATGCTCGAATCAAAACCGCTGACATTTCTGTGAAAATGGAACTGTTTGAAGTGGTGTGAGACCAACATTGTGGTGTTTAGACATCACGTGCCTTTGCATGCTATCCTTTCTACTAAATGATTTTTCGCTAACGGAACGGAACCAACTCATGTCAGCTCCTCAGGAGCAGAATGTAGACTGAGAAAATGCTAGCATAATGCGCATTGATATAGTTTTGAAGGCTATAAAATTCAATAGTTTTCCTCCACCACCACCACCACTACATTTCTATTGTTTTCCCTCCACCACCACCACATTTCTATTGTTTTCCCTCCACCACCACCACAACCACCACCGCCACCACATTTCTATTGTTTTGCCTCCACCACCACCACCACCACCGCCACAACCAGATTTGCATTGTTTTCTTCCACCACCACCACCGCCACCACATTTTCATTGTTTTTCTCCACGACAGTCAATAAAAGACTGCAAACTACTATCATAAGTTCAGTTTGTCGCAATGTCTCAAGTTGTCAAGAACAATCGTGGTTTTCTTCAATTCTTAGCTGTTTGTCCAGCTCATCAGTTTCAGACAGTTTCTTTCACGGACAGCCAGTCCACAACAACTACATGCATTAGTCCAGGTGTTATACAACATACTTAAGGAATACATTCTTATCCCCGAAGAAAATAAGCGGAACGTGTTGCCATATAAGGATGCTCTAGTAAACCTAGCAGAAACAAATGTCCCTTACAAAACAAAGAAGCGAATCCTTGTACAAGAGGGTGATGGTTTTATTCAAGACCTATTGGTACCTGCTGTTACAAGCCTAGGATTTTTGATGCTATAAAAGAGGAACCGAAACTATAAGTTACTCATTTGAAGCTACGGTCTGTCACGGGTACTCATCACAATGAAGAGAAAGATAGATTTGGTTGAAGAAGAACGCGAGAGTGAACATGAAGCAAGCGAAAGTTCTGGTGATGAAAGCGAGGATGAAGAACCAAGAATAAAAGATGTTTTGAGTCATCTTTCCCGAGCAGTGTCGAAAAAGCGTGCTTCTGATTTGCTGCATAGTATGGCCGCGTCCAAAGATATTCTTTTCTGGACTCCCAGCGGACAACTACTTCGAAATAAACGCACTATTCCCGTCACAAACATCGCCGAGCTAGTTGAGTATGTGTTACTCCCTCATAACAATGAGGTTACCAAGCCTCGTGCGCTGAATACGTTTCTAGATGGACTTGCAGAGTTAGGAATCGATAAAGGTTTAATCAAGAACAAAAAGTTGTTAAGCGATTTAATAGAAAAGGAAAAAGGCTACCGAAATGTAGAAAATACTTCCGATAATGAGAGTAATAATGATGAAAGTTCATTGGATATTGAAAATCAGGAGGAGGAGGGAGAGGAAGTGGCTTCTGAGAATGGCGTTGAAGCTGAGGGCACCCAAGAGAGCGACAACGACACTGAAAACGATAGTGAGGAAACAGAAAGTAGTGGCCTTGAAACGTCCACAACCTTTCACTCTAAAAGTCCCTGTGAACATTACGAAAACTCTAATGTGTACTCCACATTGATCATGAAATGTCCTAGGTGCTTTTGGTACGATAACTACAAGATTTGTCCTATACGCGATCACCAGATCCCCGTGGAGAGAAAATACATCAAAGAGGGCTTTCTTCGGTGTCACGATTGTGGATTAATTACACACAAAAACGCCAAGACGTTGGAAACAAATTTTTATTCACCTTCTAAAGAGGAGAACGAAGAAGAGGTCTAATTTCCATTCCTTCCAAATCGCTGTGTGTTCGACTCTTTTTGTCACTGGTTTTCAATAAATTTTTTAAAACTGTATCTCGTGGCTTGTCAATTTATTTGTCGCGTGTTTTAATTGATCCTTCTTAAGTTATTTATTGTTTGTGTATTTATAATAATACAATACTTTATTTCAAAAAAGCAAGCATAATAATAATAAGTCAAGTTTCTCCCTTGGGGATTTTACTGTGGAACCAATTTGTATGCAGCTGTGGACTTGTTAACCCGCATAATTAACTGACTAACAGCGCGTGAATTGACAAGACCATAAGCTCATCAAGCGCTGAGACTTCACTAATGGTGAGTCAAAATTGAAATAGAGAGTTTTCAGCTCCATTTTTTGTATGTGTGTGTGTGTGTGTTTTGTTTATATATCCGATTTTTAGCGCTAAATAAAAGGACATGTGTTGCTAGGCGATCGCACCTCTTATTCCTATATTTTTTTAATAGACGTTCCACTTATTAGTTACTAGAATGGAGTTTATTCAAGAACCAAAAAAAATAGGGTTTACTTTAGAACCACCTGTTGTTTTCTATAGAATTTTTGTACCCTGTGCAATACTTCCTACAGAGTCAAGTAAACAAAGATTGACATTTTTGCTTGATAAGCAGTTTTTCGCTTCGCTGAGCTTCGACCTCGTTTTCATGTTTTGCCCGAAAAATTAGTACGATTTCGCATTCGCTTAACCTCCTTTTCCCTTCTTTTGAAGTAAAGATTTTTCAGTTAACCTCCGTGTCTTGGTTTTGCTTATAACCGATTTTTAGTGAAAATAATTTCATGATTAAAGATTTTTCATTTAGTATAATCTGCAAAGATAACACGTTCAAAATTTGCCCGCTTTTATTTTGAACACATAACAGTTTCTACAATATCCAATAAGAAAAGTATCGCAAATAGCTGATTATATAAAAAATCATTTTTCTGTTTATAGATTATGATCTCAACATTTTTTGACGTCAACTCTAGGAAATTCTGATGTCACTTGCTCCTTGCTAGCCACAAATAAACTATGACATTATCCTGTCTTAATGGAATACATGACGTCATCGCCAGTAATTTAAACTATGACATCATCCTATCTTAATGAGATGCATGACGTCATCTGCGTTAATTTATACCGCACAAAAAGTTAATTAAATCCGCAAAAAAAAAGGAGTCACCGGTGCCTTATCCACTACTGAATAAGCTGTGAAATCGGCTCTTGTAGACTGGCTTTGTCTTCAATGAACTTGTCTAAGTAGTTAACAGTTCCTAGTATTGGAAGTACACCTTCTTTGTCATAGGGAGGAGAAATCTCACTGATCCCGCGGATTTTATCAGGGTCAGATTTCAATCCTTCAGCCGAGAACACATGTCTAGTATAGCTTACTGCAGGAACACAAAGTTTCACTTTCTCTAGATTGAACTTCAATCCTACTTTTCTGCTTCTATCCAGTACTCTTCTCAACTTCCCTTTCACAGAGTTTGTCCATCTCCTTTTGTTAGATTTCAGGGGCAGAAGAGATGCCGAAAGGAAGCCTTGTAAAACGATATCGACCGCAGGGGGTATTGAATGTTAAGTGCTTTGAACTTTCATCATCCACTGGGGGCTGCCACTATCCACTGCAGGCATAAAGGGACATGAAACTCTTTGCACCCGATAATCGGCTAACAACCTCCTCTACAGTAACCATTGGATAGTGTGGTCTCTTAAGAGCTTTGTTTAGGTCCCTTGGGTACAAATACAAATTAAACATCATTCTTCGAGAGTGGAGTGTTTTTTTCTTTCACTTTTCGTTTGTCAGTCACTAGCAGAGATGAAACCCAAGGGGTGAGTTCCTTTCCTTTAACAATAATCCCATCTTGTTCCATCTCTGTGAGCTTCTCTCGTTCAAGACGTACAATTGGAATTTTTCTAGGACGATGTACCACTGGAGGAACGGACGGATCAACTTCCAGATTTATTTTGTTAGGTAGCTTGCCAGGTTTATCCGTAAAACAGTAATATAATCCTGCAACACAGGATCGGTTTGGAAGAGACTTTGCGTTTCTTGCGCTGGTTGTTTTGACTCTGGAGCTGTTCTCAGTTCAAGGTTCATAAACTCGAGGACTTCTAGGTCTAAACAAGCATCACAATCCAGTAATGGTGTAAAATTTAAATCAACAACAAGATACAACAGGTTAAGTTCACGACTCCCATATCGAGTTGGAAGCCTCACAAAGCCCTTTGGATGGATGGGTTTAGGCGGAAGCCACCCCTTCCAAGGTTACTGAATTTTCTGAAGAGGTTTGGTCGTGATTTCCTTGTACAGCTCATAGGAAATGACTGCAGCTTCTGTACCAGTATCTGCTTTGATCTATACATCTTTCCCAGAAATTGTGACAGTAATTAAGCTCCTAGATTTCTTTCGAGTGCCGGAGACACTATCCAGCTCAACTGATCCAAAATATGTGTGCACATCTTGATTCATTGGAGGCTCATGTTCCACAGCTGCAAGTTGTGAACCTTCAGCGCTTATTTCTATGCACACTTGTGCAAAGTGTCCTTCCTTCTTACACTTGTTGCATTTCTTTCCAAGAGCTGGACAGGGAGGTGGCGGAGAAAATGAGTGCTTGTAACCACAAAACGTACAGTAACGAGATGTCTTTTCTTCAACCATGACTTTCCTGAGAGGGTGAAGTGAACGCTCGGTACCTGCAACTGTTGGTTTTTTAAACTTGTATTTCTGTAGTTCGGCTGCCTGGAATGTACGTCAATACTCATGAGCAGTTTGCAGCGCTAAATCTGGTTTCTTCAGCAGTCCACCTCGCAATTCGTCTGACAAAACTCCTCCCACAATACGATCACGAATGAGCGAATCTCGAAGGTCACCAAATTCACAAGCTAACGACAGTCTTTTCAGTTCACTGACCAAATTGTCAATCCTCTCAACTTCCTTCTGGTTTCCCTGATTAAACACCAGTCGCTCATAAATTACATTTCTAGCACCCTGGCACAATTCCTCAAGTTTGCGACTCACAGACATCTTGATAGCAATCTTTGTCTTCTTCATCGGTAAACAAAGTAACTATGCTCTTCGATAGCTTCTGGTCCAGCACAATGTAACAACATATTAATTCACCTTCAGTTTGTCCGCTTTATCATCTTAACTTTTTGCAACAAGGTAGATCTCACATTGCGTAAAAAAGTCCCTCCAGTTCTCAGCAGCATTCGCGTCTAGGAGCAATGGACTGGGCATTCGAGAATCTCGCTCCGCCATTATATATCAGTCAATCCCAGTTGCGCCCAGCCTTTTCAGTCCTGGGGGCCGGGCATTTGGTGGTTGCAGCTGGAATCAGCAACTGGTAAAGACTATTCTAACATGTTCATGACCCAAGCAAGTCAAAACACAACGTACGCGGTCCCCCGTTTTCGGGGTGTACGTGTAAGTCAGTCAGGGGCTCCTAAGGGGGATCCCCACAGGTTTCAATGTTACAACAATAACGGCCACTTTTTTTTTTTGGCGGACACTCTTGTTTCAACCTCTCTACAATGGCCACTTCCTTTTGTCCCCAAGGTGGCCGTTGTAGAGAGGTTCAACTGTAGTACTTTTTCATTTTACAAGAACCCTGCACAGTGCTGGACAGACATCAGTGCCCCTTAAATATCCTGCTTTCCCTGGCTTCTTTTGTTTTGATTTTTATTCCCCTGATTTAAAATGTGGTGCTATAAAGCAGCTTTTTAGTGTTCTCCTTACCAGGCAGTAAATGGTAAAATTTACCGCCTGAAGGAACACTTCTTACCGTCTGCAACCGGCGCTTGAAGGTTTACTAAAATTAAATAAGTAGTTTTAAAAAAATACGCAAGTTGTGATCTGATCCTATCAAGGAAATCAATGAACTTATGGAAAGGTACTAAGGTATACCCAGCTTTTTACTTCGGCGGAGCGCGAAGTAAAGCATTCGCGACGCTCAGGAATGTCTCAAAGTTGCCATTTTTGGGATGACTTTGGGCATGTACAGTTTCTCACCTGTGTGACCTGCCAGATCAGAAAAGACTGTAAGTTGAGGGATTAGCCGATCGCGCTACTGCGACCAAAGGTAGTTTGGCATGTGAAAAATGGCTATGAGATTATGCACTAGTTTCGGGACAAGATTAGGCCAGTAAGTTCGTGACTTTTCGGATTGTTTTCGCTATTTCAGGAAATGAGACCGGAATAGGACAATTGCACGATTACGTCATTTTACTACAACTACCACAATCCTTCAGTTTGCTGTTTTCTTGTGCAAATAAAGGCTATTGTTCTTTAAACCTCAGTGGAATTGACAAAGTTGAATAAAACAGCAAAGACGAAGTGAATTCTAGTAGTTGTAGTCAAACATCGTCATCTTGAAAATGGCTTATAACTTCGAGATATCTTGAGATCACTTCGAGTTCAATCTTTAATCAACTCTAGGAATAAATAGAGGATACTACAATGGCCGCGTAGAGACACGAAATTTTTCTTCGGGTGTTGAAAACCATTTGATGAGTGAGCGTTCCTTTCGAACTGTTTTACGATGAATTTTAAGTTACAAAATGCTGCACAAAGACGTTTGTTACGTGGTAAAATTGTTGTCATGCGTTGCGTGACTTTCTCGGACGTTCTCTACGTTTTTGGATCATTCATGAATAACTAATTAGGGCATGTTTACATTTCATCATGAGTCAGCGGATTTGCATCAGTTACTGGAATCATAAAGTATCGAAAAACTGCCACTTTTCGCCTGTTTAGCATTTTCTAGAACTTTATGTGAAACGGTATACAAGTTCAAAGCGGGTTTTTTTGACAAACTAAGTTTTTTTTTCCCACGAAAAGTGTCACGATGGTCGATTTTCAAGTTCTATCTTTACAAGTTGTTGGAGGCCGTAAGATATCTGAAGTTCAAGTGAGAGTTTGTTATTATTGGCATGGCCTGTTAAGTTTTACTGAAGTTCAAGTCAAGTTTGTGTTGGCGGATGCTGTGTTTTAAAGCTGTTTTAAGACTATGTTACTTTGGTATTAAACTTCCTAGTATTAATCCGACATCCCTCGGTGCTGCCCTGCGTGCTGATAGTCAGACAGCAATTATCCTAAAAACATTCGATATCGTAACATCGAGTTTTAGCCAATTCCATGCTCAACGTAATTGACTCCTTACCTATATACGATGGCCCAGAAGGCTTACAGTTTAGTTTTGATTTTTGACAGTTCAGTTGTGATTTTTGACAGTCCAGTTGTGATTTTTCACTGCAGTTAAGTTGTGTTTTTTGAGAGTTTAGTTGTAATTTTTGACAATTCAGTTGTGATTTTTGATAGTCCAGTTGTGATTTTTCACTGCAGTTCAGTTGACTTTTTCGATAGTTTAGTTGTGATTTTTGACAGTTCAGTTGTGATTTTTAGGGAGTTCAATATTTGAATTTTCAGACAGTTCTGTGTTAAGTTTTGAGGTTGAACGAGAGAGACTGGGATTTAACATACGGGACATACACAGGAAGATTTTCAGGAAGAGGACTGCTCTACCTTTTTCTCCCGTCATTTTGGAAGACACTAAGCAATGGACACCATTACAAGACAGGCGGTTCGTGAGGAAATTAGTCGTCAGAACAGCAATGAGCAGGTCACAAGCGTTCTTACGACACCGCTTACGATCCCGACGCCGAGCTCCTAGTGAAAACCAGCCTTAATTGAGCCCTTAAACTGGCAGCGCGCGATGTTTCCGCTTCGTTAAAAGACGCCACGGTATCTCCTTCAGTTTGCCCTTAGAGGAGAAATTAAAATATGTTTTGGAAAATAAAATCGTTACCTTTTGAGGGGCAACTTCTAGTGGTCAAACAGTTTTGCAATGTCATTGACTGAGAAATCCCCCTCCCAAACTTTATTTTTGATCAATGAGTATTCCGTTTAAAAACGATAAGGGCGAGGTTAAGGAAATGTCTAACTGCTACGGAAACAGAGGATGATGTACTGGACAGCGAATCGAAAGTGATTTTGACCATATGGACAGTGCATTTTTCAGTTATTCGAGAATATTGTCATAAAATAGACAAGCGTTAGGTATCGCACTTTATTGCGGGCTCCTCTGGACGAAATAAGGGCAAATACACCTTTTGAATCCTTTTCTTCCAGTTCGTAATGATTGTGAAATAGTCCGACACTCAAATGAATTACTGTGATATCGTTTTTCCACTGGCTTTCATGATAGGCCAAAAACGTAATTTCTTGCCGTTAGATTCCATGGCATGTTCTAATGCACACTTATGTCCAGAAAGGAGGGCAACGGCGGAAATAGAAAATCTGAAAAAATTCGCCAGAGGGTATGAGGGTAATTTGCAAAAAATGACGAATAAGTAAAAAAAGGTGAATGTGGTGAAAATTTGCCAAATGTTTAGTGCAAAAATTCTAAAGAGATGGCGGTCCAAAGGGGTCCCTTGAAAAGTGGCGATTTGGCAAAATTTCTATTGAGTTGTTGAAAGGGCTGTCTTGAAAAGTGGAGCGTTCGACGAAAATGGCTAATTTACATACCGCTGACAAAAAATCACCAAAGGGTTGGCGAAAAATCAAACCTGACTCAAAGGAGATGGCGTTGTTGCGTACATTTCTGGACATCTGATCTCCAAAAGGAGGGGGAAAGTCCGGCTCCTCAATATGCAAGTCGCCGTTGAGTCAGCTAGTGTCACGAGTAAATAGTATGTTAGTAAGTTTCCCCTCTTTTTCGTGGAATATGGGCCACTAGGCATTTTTTAATAAATGCGAAATAGTTTGGGACTTCCATGATGAGCTGCCGTGAAATGGCTATTTTTCCTCTAGTTTGCACTGAAAAAGTATAATGCAATAATGTATCCAATTCTATACGAAATGCGAAATAGTCCAGCGCTAGAATGAATTGCTGTGAAGTATTTTCACTAATTCCCAAGGATTCCCCCCCCTCCACGCGCGCCCATCGAAGTTTCTTTTTCACCCTTAACGTCTGCCCTCAGGCTTCGTACCTGGGCAGCGTTGCTCTTAGATCCCTTTTGCGATGCATGGGGGAAACTCCAGGCCTTGACAATGTGTGGTGTTCCACTGCTTTTCCTACAAAAACCGGGTTAATATGCAGACTGTGTTTTCACTATTCTATCATGAAATATTGGGCCACTACGCATTCTCAGTCCTTAGATCCCATTTTCATCGGACTGGGAAATAGTCCAGCACCTAGATATTTTAATAAGCTGCTGCATGTGGAAGTGTACTGAAGTGTTTTTCCATCAGCCCTCATGAAATACAGGGTTCTTTGATCCCATTTTATAATGAATGCAACATAGTTCGGCACTTCGGATGAGCAGCCTTGAAATCAGGGTGTAATGTCTAGTTTACATGACATATTAGGGCCAAATACGCATGTTTTGGTTCACTGATTCCATTTTATAATGAATGCGAAATAGCCCAGCCCTTGAATGAATTGCTGTGAAATCAGCGTTTTTCTACAAACATGTAGGGGATATTATATGGCAAAAACGCATTTCTGGCCCGTAGATCCCATTTTGCGATGCATGGGAAAAACTCCTTCCCTTGAACGGGTTGCGGTGAAATGGGTATTTCCGACTGACTATTTTTCATTGAATATCTGGGTAAATATGCGGAATTTTGGTCTCCCTTCAATTTGGAGTGTAGGGCACTACGAATTTTTATAGTCCAGGACTTGAATGAATTTCTTGAAAAAGTAGTGTATTCTTAATGTATATAGTTTGCAGAAAATATAGTGCCAAAAACGTGTTTATCACCCTAATTTCTTAGTATTCAATAAATGCAAAATAAAGTCCAGCACTTGAATGAATTGTTTTTGCCAGTGTGGGTTGCTTTGAAATAATTGTATTTGATATGAGTGAAACATAGTCCGTTACTTCGAAGAAGTGCTGTGAAATCAGGGTCTTTCCACCAGTTTCCATGAAATCTAGTGCTAAATTTGCATTTTTGGGTCCTTGGATCCCATCTTCATATAATCGCGAAATAGTTCGGGACTTCGATGAGCTGCTGTGAAATAAGATGTTTTCTCTAGATTTTTTGCAATATTATGGCGAATACGCATTTCGAATTCTGGCCCTGGGATCTTCCATTTTTTTAACAAAAGCGATACAGTCCAGCACTTCCATGAGTTACTGTGAATTAAGTGTCTTTCCACCAGTTTGCATGAAATATGGGCCAAATAGGCAGTTTGACCTCCGTTCCATCTTTTTAACGAATGCGACGAACTGCCATGAAAGCATTGTGTTTCCCTTAGTTTGCACGAAATCTAGGACCAAAAATGACGGTTTTGTTCCCTGCTTGGATCCCACTTTCTAATAATTTGGAAATATTCCGTCACTTCGATGGCTTAATGATAAATCAGTTTGTGTTTTCACTAAAACCTGCTCGACTAAGAACCTGTTAGGCTAAAATTTGAAAGAGGTTCCTATTCTCTAAAATCTATAAAAAGAAATTCTGTGCTCTTGGGCAAACTTAGGAACCTTTTTGGAGACATTGGTGCCTAGAGTGTAAAACTATTAGAACTGAGAGTAATTGGACAAGTCAGAAAAATGCCCGTGGATTGGCATGATATAGGATGTGACACACGTTGCACTCGCCATTCCAAAATTCTTCACTTTGCGCCTTTGGAAGACTACATTTTTACTTAAAACGTTTCTATTACACAATTCCTAACAGTTTGAGGTTAATATCATAGAAGTACACTTCATTTCAGGCGACTGTAACAAATTTTCTTTCTCGAATTTGCCCGCTGTAAAAACGCTCGTGAATCGGCATCATATAGGATTTGCAATTGCAGAATTCTTCACTTTGCGCCTTCTGAAGACCAGACTTTTCCTTGCTTAAAACGTTTCTATTACACGATTCAGAACAGTTTGATGTTAACATCATAGAAATACACTTCATTTGCGGGAACTATAATAAAGTTTCTTTCTCGAATTTGCGCGCCTTAAAAAAGGCCGGTGGATCGACATCGCATATGACGTCACCCACGCTTCCATTCCAGGATTCTTCACTTTGCGCCTTCGGAAGACCAGATTTTTGCTTAAAACGTTTCTTTTACACGATTCCGAACAGTTTGATGTTAACGTCATAGAAATACACTTCATCTGGGGGGAACTATAGCGAAATTTCTTTCTCGAATTTGCCTGCCTTAAAAACTCCTGCGGATCGGTATCATATTGGATGTGACACAAGCTGCACTCGCCATGCCAAAATTCTTTGCTTTGCTCCTTCCGAAGAATAGATTTTTGCTTAAAACGTTTCTATTACAGGATTTCAAACAGTTTCATGTTAATATCATAGAAATACACTTCATCTGGGGGGACTGCAATAAAATTTCTTTCTCGAATTTGCCCGCCTTAAAAACGCCGTGGATCGGAATCATATATTACGTGACCGAAACCGCACTCCCGAAACCAGAATTTTCTTATTTTCCGTCTTGGGAACTATAAGTGTTTACTAGAAACATTTTATCTTAAAAAACTGGTGGATTTTAAACCAACACAATGAAGTAAAATTTCATTTTGAGCAATTTAATTTCGCTCTGTTCCTTATTTGTCTTCGAGGTATCCGGAATTAGCTGGAATCGTTTGAACATTTAAATAATAAAATGTTCGTTTTTAGTCATTTCATCTTCTGCTCGATCAAAAAGGCGGAATAGTTTTTATTTGATCTAAAATAGAACGGTTACTTAGTCACAGATAGTTGTGTAGGCTGTAGACCGCCATGGACCGCCATATTGACCGTACTAACTAAAATAGTACATAATTCAGCGGGTCATGCCCCCGAAATTTCGTGCATTCTCAGCGAGAATCACCCATCGGGGTTGCGTGAACCGGGCGCAATCTTTCGCCTTATTGGCAATACTTTCGGTCAGCGGCTTTTATTTGGCGCAAAACAACTAAGTATTCTACCAATCGATCTGTCCTAAAAGATAAGCCGGTCACACAGACATGGCCAACTATCAGCGGTTAAGAGCATTACCAAACAGCCCGAATGTAACGTAAGAAGCACGGAATGCGATGTCCGCGATTTCTGGCCATGCGCCGAAGAGATTTTCTTGCATAATCTTAAATTATAGACTGATCACTGAAGACGCGAAAATGCAGTAAGAACTCAAACAAGAGAGTACTGAGTTAAACTTGCTTTTTTCACTATTTAGAACATTTACTGTGTGACCTATAACTGAACTGAAGCTCAAAAAATTGAATCTTTGTGTTTAATTGGTGTTTACCTGAGCCCTTTTATGTCGAAGCCAATGAAGCAAATCTCCATGAGCGATATACTCTACCATGAGTAGAATTGGTTTAGTTGTGGTCCAGCAACCAAAGAAACTCAGAACATTTTGGTGCTTCCCAACTTTCTTCATGAGCTCTATTTCATCCATAAATTCCTTTCTCTCTTCTTCATTGGCGTTTTCTGGCGACAACAAGCATAGGTGGGTACAAAAAAACAAACAAACAAATCATCGATCACTGTAACTGCGGCTTTCATAAATTAAAGTGAAATTCTGTTAAGATATACTCGTTGGGGCAAACATACAAAACGCAAGTCGCAATCTTCCCTGGATCTCTCGGACAGTGACTCTCTGCTGATTTCTACTGTTGCATATATCTATATTTTGTATATACTACTAGACTTTCCATATTGGAAGTGAAGTGCCGTCCCATGAAGAAAGAGCAAGGGGTTGAACTGGTAGTAAATGATCTATTTTATCTCAGTTGTGGATATCACATAGTCTTCGATATAATAAGATTATAGATTAAGTTTGAAGTTGAATTCTATTTTTAAACTTATCTTTAGCTATATCTTCATGAGTGATTTTTTATAATTCGGAACCTGGTTATTCTTTAACACAATAAGTTTCAAGTAAAAACAAACACAGAACATAATGAACTATAATGCACAAAGATTTTAACCAATAATCAACAAGCATTAATGAATCACAATAATATATTATCCGTATGTTTTTCAAATAAACACCTTATATTGAAAGGTTGGTACGCAGCGGAGACTGGTCGGTATGGGAACTGCTAACGAACAGCGAAAAAACCTTCCCGACAAATCGAGTTCTCAGACGCTTTCAGGAAAAAAATAGGTAGCTGCCCTGTGTGGCAGCAAAAACGGTAGATAGTGATTTTTCGCGCGCTGGGCTGTGATTGGCTCTTCAAACTCGAGAGATTTAGTGCTATTCATTGACCCACCTCTAGTCTCCGAGCGACGAGTGAAGCCAAAGTCGCGTAAGCAAAATGGCTTTCTGGTTTATTACTACCGTAACAATTAACTACGAGGAGATTTTAAAAGTAAACGAGGAGGCTGTTCCCCACAACACGAGGAAGGCGACGAAATTCAGTTCGACATTTTTTCCAGGTAAAGTTTGTCTGTTTAACCGGAATAATTAACGATAAAACCGGCAAAAAAGTTTTTTTTTTTTTACAAATGAATGGTATGTTTTACGGTACATGTACTTTGCTTAGCTGACATGTTCCTAAATAATCATAAAACTGATTTAAATGTCTTCTTTATAGAAAAATTTCAAATACAGAAAGAATTCACAACTCCCTTTGAAGAAATGTCCTCGCAAGGGCAAAACAAACGCCTTCAAAAGTCTTATTTGTCGGTGACAAAACGTGACCGCAACGTCATTGTCGCGCCAAAATTGTAATCTTTGGCAGTAATAAATGATTTTAAAAATCTTCAATTTTGCGCTCAAAAAATTGCCTTAATGTTTTAGTACATTTTCACTGGTCTCGATAAATGTCTACCACTAACCACATGACCGACCTTTATTTTTGTGAAACGAGGCTGAACGTCACTCTGCAAAAAGAAGCAGAAAGCTTAAGGTACCACACTTGAACTCACCAAAAAGCTCTTTGACTGCAATAATTTTCTGCTTTCTTGGCCTGCATGCCCAGTTTTGCTCAAAGTACGCCAGACCGTCCTTTAGTGTCGCTTTGTGAACTTTTCCAAATGCTCCTTCACCCAATAATTCAAGAAATTCTGTTCTTATTGGAGGTATTTCACAACCGTCCAAAACCTGGATTTCCTTTGCAGACCTATAATGTTTTTAAGAAATGGGTTATTCCAAAACTATAACGCCCAATAAATGAAATTAAAAATAAAATTGACCAGACACAATTTATGCTTTTCTTTTTTTAATTCGTTGGGTTACCAGATTTGTTTACCGGTTAGGCGAATGTTTAATGCAGTTTTATACACACCTCTTAGTGGAGCGGTTTCCTTTCTTTCTGTAATTATTGATGCACACCGCCAGCTGTATAGTTCCCAGGATTATAAGTAAACCGGCGAAGGTATAGATGAGAATAAACTCCAGGGAAATTCCTGTAATTTTAGATAACAATTTTTCACTTTCAGTGTCTGTGGGACGTTTCTGATTCTTTAAGTTTGATGTTGAATTGTCGTATTGTAGATTCGTCTCCCCCATAAAATCTCTTAACTTATTTTATTATTATTGTTATTAACGTTAAAAGCCGGAGTTTCGATATCATCATGACACCATTCTCAAGGCAAAATGAATAAATAATGCGAAGATTTGAGTTCTATAGTCTATACAAATTAACATGATAACAAAGGATAACAAGTTCTTCAAGTGAATACCTTTGCGCGAATCGAGTCCCCCTGCACGTTTAGGGATGGTTTGAGTTTTCTTATAAAGAGCATCTCCTTAATTAGGCAATCAAATGTGTTAGAACCTTTAGTGAGCACGTGAAATTGTTCTGAAGGAAAAAGTGGTACGTCCGAGTTATGTTCGCTAAAATGTTTACGTTTGTGTCCATCAACGCGTTCGTCGAGGTGGCCGCGAGTGTAACCAACATATCCTGCATCGCACAGGTTACATTGAAATTGATAAACTAAACATTGTTGATTAACAATAGCTGGCTTGACTTCTCGAAATTTAAGGTCTTCGTTGAGATTTCTGCTGATGAACACGGGCTGAATAGTGGTCTTGATTTTTAAGCTGAGGTCTGTGAGACGTTTTTTCACTATAATATATAAATTTAGCCAGGGCTAAAAGCGAAGCTCCCATTAATAAATTTAGTATTTAAATCAAACAATAAACTTGTAAATCCACAAATCAGTTAACTTAAGGGCAAATTCATGTGACTTTTGAGGAAAAGGCTAATTGATTTTAGAGTGGAACATCTTACATCGAGATGACAGCCATATAAAACACCCCAAAAATAGCAATCATCTTCGATCACATTCAAGAGCCATAATGGCTCTTGATCACAGTAGATTAGACCAGGAAAACAAATTCTTGAAAAACAAATCAGGCCAAAGTTTTTGCTTTCGACAAGTTTAATTTACTTGACAAAATCTTGCTAACAAATTCGGGGGTGTATAAACCAACCTTTTATACTTTTTATACATCACATCTTAGGTGAAACAGTACTGTTTATCATACAGACCTCCCACAGAATGCAGCATTGCAAATTTTCTCAAGACAAATATTGCACTCAGTCAATATTCAGGACGAGCAGTTGTGGGCTTTTAGCGAAACCGTTCGAAAAATTTCCAAAATCACCTATACGGCCAGCCAGTTCAATTCTCACTTTTGATGAGCGCCAAATTTGCAGTGAACATTAATAGAGTTACGCTTCAACATAATAAATAATCTATTATTTCTATTTTTTTTATCTAAGGGTTTTATAACGATGTGTAATCTTAAAAAACGTTTGATATGCGCGCAATTTTGAGATAACTCCTGCAAGCGATGTTCATGAACGACTGAAAACGAACGCACAGCGATTAAAATTGCAAGAGAGACTACTAACAATTACTAAAAGAAATATAATTCGGTGAAACATTTACAGAGACAACAATTTTCATTCACGAAGACAAGTATTAAAGCGTTTCTAAAAATCCTGAATGTTTTAAGCCGGCCTCCCGGTGTTTGCTTTTCTCAAAGATGAACTCGAGGCAAGAAAATCGCTCAAAGTTTTCTTTCTACAGCCAAATTTATAACTAAATATTCTTCGGAACGTTTTCTTTCTATTTGCGGTGAGAAAATATACCTAAAGGCTTTTTAAAGTTCGAATTCTGCAAGTTTATACTAAACCTAGGTCAGATCATTGTCTCAAATCTTACAAACGTGCATAAAGTTGCTGCATAAACTGTGCTCGACTACATGAAATTGGATATTAAAAAAAAACAAACATCAAATACAATCATTGCTCAGGCTTACCATTCGAGATGCAGCTCCTGAAAGCTACCAAGGAACGCGAGAATCGCTTGAGAATTTTGAATCCACTTTATGCATCAAGCAAGGTGAAAAACAAAAGCGATGCCATCCAAAATCGGATTTCCGAATTTGACAAGCGACGGATCTCTCAACCAAAAAACCAATAAACAAACTTTCCATGAATAACAGAAGACTCTCGATAGCATCTTTATTTCATTTTGTACATCCAATGGAAAAAGACAGTTAAAAACATCACAAGTTGACACAAAACTCTGTCAGCTTCAGCTGTAAAAATAAACAACTTTCAAGATGCTGCATAAATTTTCCGCATAAACTCACCTGTCAAATTTTGACCAATCAGAACATAGACATTGGACGTAGAACGTGACCAACGCGTGACCATGGTAAGAAATGGTCATCCCCACATGTTTTTTTTTTTTAAAAACTGGTTGAATTTTCCCGTGCGAGGTCGATTTGAAATCAAAATCTTAATAGTGCGGGGCCATAATGACATAAACACAACATATTTCATATAAATTAAAAAAAATAAACTTGAGCCTGCGATCATTTGAAAACCAGTAACTTGTCAGTGGATAGCTTGAAAAAAGTACTCGATCTCGATGGGTCGACACCTGAGCCCGCGATACGGCCAGGTGATACTGGTCAGCGGATACCTTGTTTTGACAGCTGTCAATTGATTACAACATTGATGTGCAATCAGTTTCCTCCTAGGCTCCCAAAGTAGTTAGAAAGTGTGAAAGTAAATATTGGTTTTCCTGTGGTGCGGACGGACGGACGGACGGTCGGCGGGCGGTCGGTGTACGGTCACGTGATTACCAAATTTTCTGGGATGGGTAGATTTACTAAGCTATGGATTACAGATTAAATAGGTGCCTCGGGTACTTAAGCTTTAAGAATAGAGTATCAAGCCGATCGCATTCCTGTGAGAAGTACGACCAGTCGGAAGATATGCGGTAAGCTCGATCTAACATGGTGGTAATTACACTGCGCTTGTACCGACTATCCAAGTGGCTCTGGTAGTGGAGTAAAAAGGCCCGTATTAGTTGGTTTTACGTAGACCCTGGTCTTGATTCTGGGAGCGAAGTTTAACAGTTCAACACCTCCATAGTAAACTTTGCTGATGGGTGGAGTGGTTTAGGGTATCAAGAAAAATTTCGGCCGATGCTATATCGGCATGATGGTAAATGTGTCATCCACATATCGTCGATAATAGGAGGGCATGCGATTTGCTATCTTGATCGAGTTTATCTTCAATGGAGCACATAAAGACATTGGATAGTTTCATCTAGTATCCTATGATGTCACATCTTTATTTACCAATGTTCCACTAGATGAAACTATCCAGATTTTAGCTGACAAAGCTTTCACTGATGACTGGTTTAACAAGACCCATGAACTGAACCTATCCAGAGACCAGCTAATTGAACTACTCCACGCAGCCACTAAGAACCAACTCTTTCAGTTAAGTGGAAATCTCTATGAGCAAACAGATGGCGTCGCAGTGGGATCTCCTCTTGGGCCTCTGCTCGCCAATGTCTTTATGTGCTCCATTGAAGATAAACTCGATCAGGATGGCAAATTGCCCTCCTATTATCGACGATATGTGGATGACACATTTATCATCATGCCGATATAGCATCAGCCGAAATTTTTCTTGATACCGTAAACCACTGCCACCCATCAGCAAAGTTTACTATGGAGGTTGAACGGAATGCCTCGCTTCCTTCCATCGGTGTTGAACTGTTAAACTTAGCTCCCAGAATCAAGACCAAGCAAGGTCTACGTAAAACCAACTAATGCGGGCCTTTTACTCCACTACCAGAGCCACGTGGATAATCGGTACAAGCGCAGTCTAATAACCACCATGTTAGATCGAGGCTACCGCATATCTTCCGACTGGTCGTACTTCTCACAGGAATGCGATCGGTTTGCGACTGTATTCTTAAAGCTTAAGTACCCGAGGCACCTATTCAATCTGGCTGTCAAACAATTCGTAGATTCCAAGGTAGCAGACCAGCAGCAAATTCCACCAACCGACACGACTCCAGCCCCCATCCGAGTTGTCATACCATTTAAAGATCAGGTCTCTGCTAATATAGTGAAAAACGTCTCACAGACCTCAGCTTAAAAATCAAGACCACTATTCAGCTCGTGTTCATCAGCAGAAAACTTAACGAAGACCTTAAATTTCGAGAAGTCAAGCCAGCCATTGTTAACCAACAATGTTTAGTTTATCAATTTCAATGTAACCTGTGCGATGCAGGATATGTTGGTTACACTCGCGGCCACCTCGACGAACGCGTTGATGGACACAAACGTAAACATTTTAACGAACATAACTCGGACGTACCACTTTTTCCTTCAGAACAATTTCACGTGCTCACTAAAGGTTCTAACACATTTGATTGCCTAATTAAGGAGATGCTCTTTATAAGAAAACTCAAACCATCCCTAAACGTGCAGGGGGACTCGATTCGCGCAAAGGTATTCACTCGAAGAACTTGTGATCCTTTGTTATTACGTTAATTTGTATACACTATAGAAATCAAATCTTCGCATTATTTACTCATTTTGCGTTGAGAATGGTGTCATGATGATACCGAAACGTCGGCTTTTAACGTTAATATTCACTTGCTTATGTTTTAAGAAATCGTTTTTGATCAAGATTTTTATTATTATTATTATTATTATTATTATTATTATTATTATTATTATTTAACATTTCTAAAATTAAAGATTTATTTATTGTGGAGCATCATGCGAGTCATAGTATTGGCCGCAAGAACTACAGCAAATGCCGTGATGCTATCGTGCGAACCTGGCATATGTCAGGACCTGCGTTGTGTTCAGTACACAGCTGGACATTAAAACCCAAATACAAACTATCGCAGTCGTTAGTAGTTGAATTAAATCTTTTAAATGCAATAGTTTTGCTACAATAAAAGCGATTTTCTTTTGTGAGTGAATGTGATGGTTCCCTTCAATGTTTTCTTACGTTGGGTCTTCTGCCACTCCAGAGACAAAGTTCTATGTACACGGAAAACATGTGCTCTACAAGATTTCGCAGTTCGCTGTAGCGATGAACGTCGAGTAGTTCTTCGAATAGCCATTAGCATTCG